AGGAGTCTCACGGTCTCTCCTGCCCGGGCTGGCTTTGAACCGCGATCCTCAGATCTCAGCCTCCTGAGTAGCTAGGATTACAGGTGTGAGCCACCGGCGCCCGGCTGAACCAGTAGCTTTTTATAAGAAAATACTTACTGTTCTGTTCTTCACCACGAGCAACCAATGTTTCAAGAACTTTAATTCCTTCTTGAACAGCTAAAAGTTCTGTGTTACTAGTTGGTCTATTTCTTTCAACAGCTTTTAGTTTTTCAACCACTATTGGAGCTAGTGAATGGATATAGGGTGTTGAGAGGGCACGGTTGGAATGTTGAAAGACTGAGAGGAGGAGTTGGTAGCATTTGGCTTGAACCTACATAAGAAAATAACTTTATCAATCAACATATGTAATTGCTCCTATTTGTTCTGAAATCACATTGCATCTTCTTATCTACTAAAAAGAAGACACTGCAAGACAAAAATCAAAATGCTATTTTGCCACTTAGAGAAAAAGAGAACAATGGAGCTTTCAATAAGCTAACTAAATTACAAGGAAAAGAAATAAAAACATCTTAATTACCAGATCTTCATGCTTATACAATTCAGGAATCATATCACCCCAATTCTAACCTAATACATGGTAAAGAAGGCTAATACAGGAATAATATAAAATAAAGCTATAAAAACACATTGTTTCCATACCTCAAAATCCTGAGATAATTGTTTATACAAATTTAAGTTTACTAAAGCCTAGAAATTCTCAGTGGCTCTACTTTACATTAAATAAACTTGACATCTGTGGTATTTTTTTTTTACAAAAAGGAAGAAAAGTTCAACATTAAGAAGGAATGATAAAATGAAATTATTTCAGTCCTTTGACAGAAAATAAATCACTATACTTTACTGGACAGCAGAAATGCCTAGGGAATATCTTAAAAGTACAGATCAACAGTAGACCTCCAAGATCCCTCAGCCACAAATCTGCAGACTAATTTAGGAAGCTAGTGATAGAAGATATTTCTCAACTGATTTTTTCCCCCTGATGTGGAGCATGTTTTGAGAATCATTAGTTTAGACTTCAACATTAAAATGCCAAAGCACATTTTCTAAATAAATCAGTTTCCAATGGGCTCATTAAAACATGTAAAAATGTAAATTTATCTTTTAACATCTTTGGTATTGTTGAAATAAATGTTGAAAAATATAACAGATTCATATGAAGACTCCAACAATGTCAGGGCTAATCAAGTATTTCAGATAATGGTAAGTGAATACATAGTGATCTTTTCCAGGTTTTCCACTTAAAATTTATACTGTAAACTCTTAGGTTTTCACTATAAATATATTTTAATATGAATCAGTTAAAAATTTTCTGCTAAAGTATAATGTTTAAGTGTAACTTACCCACGGGTCACACGAATTTAATGCATTTTTAAATCTGTTCATGCAGCCATTCTGTAAAGACTGGACTCCTATTATTTCATTACCAGCAGACCACAGGAAGAGTGCAATTGCTGTTAGGAGGCTTACTTCATCAGGCACAGAATCTTCTGAAAAGGAAAAATGAAAGCAATGCGCTGTCTGTAAACCATTCTGAAATTTTAATCTTGGACAACTCCCTTCAACATTTACAGCAATGAATGTCTCCAAAAGAATAGATTAAAAATCATAATTTCAGAACAATAGTAGTAATAAATGCTTCAGGCATCATGGATACTAAGACCACCAGGAAGAAAACTACAGAGACTCAAGAATGTCTCTCCACAGATTAGTTGTTAATTACAAAAGGGAGAAATGGAACATTATAGTAGAGAACCACTGGCAAATACTATCTTAAGAGATACTAAAATTAATTCTCAATAATAAGAAAGAGCAACATTATTCCTGCCAAAACTCAAAATCAAAATTGAAACTGAACAGAGAAAAAATTAAGACATTAAATTTTAAAACATTCAAAATAGATGACCTGCATTCATAAAAAAATGTAATGTAATAAAAGACAAAGGCTGAGGCACTTCCTCAAATTAAATATGACTAAAGCAATAGAACAATTAACTGGAAAAAAGTTGTATAAAGGCCAACTTCTGATTTACTTGTGAACAATAATAGCATTGTGTCAATGTTAAATTGCTTAAATTTGATCATTCTTCTGTAGTTCTGAAGGAATGACTTTGCCCTTGAGATATCTATGAAGATTTTGGAGTAAAGAATCATGATGACTTCAACACTCTATATGTGGATTGCACAGAGAATAATATGGCATGTGTGGCAAAATGATAATTGGTGAATCTAGGCCAAGGGCAAACCAAAATGTTGCTATTCTATAACTTTTTTAAAATTTGAAATTTATTTATTTAAGAAGAAACCAAAGGTTCTCAACATGAGAAAATAATGTTTTCTCAACATGAGAAAATAATTACAGCAATCTTAAGAGAATTTATACTCTTAAAAACTTGTGTTTGGAGCTAGGAATGTGGCTTAGTGGTAGAGTGCTTGCTTAGCATGCATGAAGTCCTGGGTTTGATTCCTCAGTACCACATAAACAGAAAAAGCCAGAAGTGGTGCTGTGGCTCAAGTGGTACAGTGCTAGCCTTGAGCAAAAGAAGATCAGGGACAGTACCCAGGCCCTAAGTTTAAGCCCAGAACTGGCAAAAGAAAAACAAAAACCCCAAAAAACTTGTGTTGGTGTGCTCATTTAAATACGTATTTTTAAGTAGAAGATCTCAGCTCTTACAATAAGGAATAGAATTCTCAGAAAGCAAATTCTTATTCTGATGCTTTTCTTGTTAAGAGCTCTGCTTGACTTTCTATACAACTATTTCCATGTCCATAAGCTAAACACTTCCTGACAGTCTTTTGAGAATATAGTTCTAGATAGACTATTATTTTATATGTTATTTCTACTAACAGAACTTCAAATTCACTTTCTATAAACTAGCTTGATAAAATATAAAAGCCTTCCATTAAAACTGAAAAAATTCAACAGTAATTCTAGATTCCTCCAACAAAAATTAGAGTAATATTTATATTAAAAAACTCAACTATCCCTGATTATTCTTATCCATCAATCTACATGTACATATATAGATATAGCACTTTAATATATCTTTTTCTTGTTAAAATCTACATTAAAAAGCAAAATGAGGTCTGGGAAGGTGGCTCAGTAGTAGAGCACTTGCCTTGCATGCATGAGGCCCTGGGTTCAATTCCTCAGCACTACATAAGCACAAAGAAAAAAAAAAAAGCTGGAAGTGGCGCTGTGACTCAAGTGGTAGAGCCCTAGCCTTGAGCTGAAGAGCTGAGGGACAGTGTTCAGGCCCCACAACCGGACCCCCCCCCAAAAAAAAGAAATATACTCGGGATGGGAAGGTGGCTCAGTGGTTGAGCGCTTGCCTTGCATGCATGAGGCCCTGGGTTAGATTCCTCAGCACCACATAAGTAAAAAGCAAAAAAAAA